GGGTGTTGCGGTGCCTCTCTCCGGATCAAACGCTTTCCAGAGCTGTCCGGCAGGCCGAGCGCTGCCGAGCGAAGGGCTTCCCGGGTGTTTTATTCCTCGCCGGTGCCTTGCCCTGCCCGGCAGCGGGGGGAGAGCAGCCTCTGCCGCGGCGCCGGAGCTTCACCGCTGCCGAGCCCGCTCCGTCTCGTCCTCCTACAGCAAACTGCGGGGTACAGCAGATCAGTGCATTCCTCTGGTGCCTGTGGTGCGCATTCCCGTTGTGTTGGGTTTTTTGTTTGTTGTTTGTTGATTTTTTTTAAGAAAAAAAATCTAAGTTAGGCTCTTTCTAACACAGCTTTTCCTTGTTGCTGAGCTCTGCTTTTCGGTGAGCTTATAAACACGCAGAGTCAAGACCGAAGACAGTCCAGAATATTAGACGCAGAGGCTGCAAAACACATGGAGAATCGCGGTTAACGTGGCGGTGGCGGCTGTAATCCTTTCCCTGTTGCTTCCAGGTACTGCACAGCCCCAGAAAATGAATGTTTCCCCACCATGTCTCTCCATGCAGTAGCCTTAGCGAGCTACAGCAGAACAGAAGTCTTCAAGCAGCCCCGCTCCAAAAAGGTAAGGCAAGGCGGGCGTCTGAATGCCGCCTCAGCGTTTTCGTTAGCTGGGGGGACTTTTTTTTCCAGAAAATAGCTTTTAGGCGTCAGTGGTTGTGGTAAATATTTTTACATGCTGGCGGTTTCATTACGGAGTTAATTTTGGAAATGCAACCCCAGTGTTGGGGGGGAAGGCTGACTCGTTTATGCTATGAAAGGCGTCAAAATGTCAGGGGTTTTATGGGTTATGGCAGTGCGTTGTGGTACTTTTCATGCATCTCTGTTGTCCTGTTTCCTTATAAGTACTCTTTAATTGCCTCTGTTTGTTTGTTTGTTTCGTTTGATAGTTAAATACTAAAGGAGCGCTTTCCCAATCTGTGATATAGTTGAAATCTAACACCTTGAAAGTAAATGGAAAGCTTTTACCCGAATTCTCAGAACACCAGTTGCTTCTGATAAGATCTAAGAGATGGGAGGTTTGTTTAAAAAAAAAAAAAAAAGATAAAATCTTAAAACTTGGCACTCTCAATATTTACACTTACTGATAAAGTACTTGCATTCACCCTGGTGTCAGGCAGTTGTGATACTTGCATCCTGAGGTAGAGTCTGTTCATTGCTGATGTTAAAAACAATTTTTTTTTAAAAATAAAAGTAATTAATAAAAAATTACTTATTGTAAGAACTACTTTATCCAGTAATATTGACAATATGATATTTATATGTATAAAGCCTGTCAAAAAGAAAGCACTATCAGATACTGAAAAGAGGATTTTTCTAAGCACTGGCATAAGCAAGCACTGAATATTTGAAATTCAGCATACTGTTTTTGGCCTGAAATGTTATTCTTCAGTTGAAAAGGAAATTCTTTGTGGGTTTTAATTTCTTCTGCTTTCCGTGAGCCTGAAGGATATCTGCACTAGATCTGCTCTCTGAGTCGCCTCGCTCTCCCAGGGGACCGTGTGGGGGACGTAGAGGTCAGCACAGGGTGGCAGAGGACAGCACACCTTTTAACTCCCTCCTCCTCATATGGGATCGCAGGGTGCAGGGGAGGGTGAGAGGCATCCTGGGGGTGTTTCTGTGTGGAGACATCGCGGTGATGTCTGTGAGTGGGGAGAAGGCATGAGGTACACCGTGGTTAAGTGCCTTTTAATGATGTGCCTGTCGGAGCAGGGCACCCCTTTGAATTCCCAGGTTTCTGTGATGTCCTTTGCAGGTCCGTGACATACTTGAGGCAATGGAGAGGGAGCGGGAGACAAATGTGTGACCCTCGCAAGGAATTTGCGAGCTTGGGGAGGAGACCTGTTGTTTTGCTGTCCTAAGCGTATCTTGCTCCCTTGCTGGAATTAGCCCCTCCGTATCTGCGCTAAACTGCTTGCCCTGGTTCAGCTTACGCTGGTTTGACAATATAGTAAATCCGGCTTTGGGGTTCGAAATACCAAATTGTAAGCATCATGACCACACAAAGCAAAATGCTGATCTGGTATAAACCTGCTCAGTCAGTTCAAATGCATTCAAAATTTTTGTCAGCTTATACTGGCAGGCTGTGTGCCAGGTCAAGTATTATCTATTTGCGTCGCGTCTCGCTTTATGCTGGGCCAACCACGTTACTGACGTGAACCACATGTACTATGTTCTATCAAATTAGGTAGGTGTGATGATGTGTCGATACACCTGGGAGGTCAGGCGGCACATGCATCAGGTGCTTGTGGAGTCAGGGCCTCATAGATTTAGCTCATAGCTTGTATACATCTAAACAGGCCCGTGCTTCCAGCTACAGACTGGTGGTTTCTTGAATTCTTTTCCACTTCATTGCTGTTGTTTTGACAGGTATATAGACATCTGATTGAGCATTTTGTCTCATATATGCCTTATGCCCATGTTTAATTCTAGCGTGGAGAGTTTCTTTTGGTCACCTGCTTTCTGGAGTGAAATGCAAGGTGCAGAGTTGAGATGCCAGTGCTCTTCAGTTGGTGCGTGTTTCTGGGGAGACTTTCAGACAACCGGAAATACAGGCGGTGGTTAGGTGACTGTCATCAGGCCTTACTTAGCACGGTGTTCTTCCTGCTGGGATGACTGTGAGACTGGGGGTATCATTACCAGAGTACTGTTGTCTTATAACCAAATTGTCTGCCTGTGTGTTCTTGTTCTAGTTAAACCACAAAAGCCTAAAGGTGGCTTTCACCGAGTCAGCGTATTCTTCAAATCCCTCAGCGAGGATTAGCTGCCTTGCTCCGACACCTCAAATCTCCGTTCTCTCAGGTATGCCGGTTTGTTCTAAACCGCCTCCCTCTGGGGAGCTCCGCTGGCGCCTGTGGTGCTAGCAAAAGCTATCGATGTTCGTGTGTACTAAACAAGTATAGCCTGGCTGGAGAGGGAACCTTGCTTATTGGCTCGGAAGGTGCGACAACATCAAAGTATGTTATACAGTTTGTGTAAGTACGGGGTTTTTTGCCTTTTAAATGGTAGTTTGGCCATTTTAGTTATGCTGGCATTTTGAGTGCTCAAGAGTAAAATACTTGAACCATTCAGATGATTCTTGGCAGGTTAACTCCTTGTTCATTCAAGAAATAGTTTCTCAGATTTTAACAGATTACCATAATTACTCACGTGAGTATCAGTTGCAAAACTGAATTTGAGATTTTTTTTTTTTTTTTAATTGGAACTAACCTATTTCTGGTAGTAGCTTAAAATGTGGGGTTTGGTTTGGTTGGGGTTTTTTTGTTGTTGGTTTGGTTGGGTTTTTTTTAAGCTTGGCAGAGCAGAAGCCCAAGTTAAATTTTTCAAACTTGTTCTTTTTTCTCTTACAATCCACTAAGAACAAGTAATTTAGCAGAGTAAGTCAGCACGGTTATATGATTAGTGCTAGGGATGCTCCATGATGCTGGAGTAGTGGAGATGAGGAAGGATGAGAGGGGATAGAAAGGCTGACGGGATGGGTTTTCCATAGGAGAGCAGAGCAGAAGAGTTGAAGACAGTGAGACTAAATGTTTTGTCTTGCACAGAATAAGATGCTGTGTTCAGCCCAGATAAAGGTATTCCTTGTGTAAGTGAAATGTCAATAGTTATCAAAATTGCTTTCTTTTCCTGAAAAGATCAAAATATGTTTGTTTGAAAGTCAGCTAGCTTTTATTTTCCCATTCCTGCCCTTACACTGCCACAGCTGTCTGCATTGGCAAGGTGTTTCTTTGCAAGTGCAGCCAGTAAAATATGCAGTTCTGCTGCTATTTCTGCAAGAGCTTTGTCCTGATTAAGTGGCAGGTGGCTGGTCCCAATCACTGATGAACTCTTCAGCTAATTTTGACCTGGCTTTACTAGGACAGCATTACTAGGACAGTATAGCTTATATGTGATGTTCTTAATAATTTTTTCAGCTTTGTCTTGACGAGGACTGCTCTTTATATAGACTTGCTTTTCCAAAGTACGTGGGAGGTTTTGTTTTGGTTTTGATCAGTTCATTAGTAAACTTTCTTATCATGCCATTTGAGTGCATGCAGGCTTCCAGATGAGTGACTCATTGAGAGGTTTGCTGTTTTCCACTGAGATATGTCCAAGGAGAGCAACCTCTGGGCAAAGTCTGCAGTCTGCAAGACTTGCTGCTGTTTTCACCAGCGATGTTTAACAATCGTTGTGGTCCTAACTAAGAGTTCTTTGCCCTGGAAATGAATCTTCTTGCTTGTGTCTATTCTTAGAATTTTACAACCGACTTATCTTCCCCAAAGGAGACAGTTGTTAACTTCATTGTCATGATGTGGACTATAGTTTCTTCTTAAACATAGACTTTGTGTCCAATCTCTCTATTGCTTGGATGACGGCAGTTCCTGTGAGGCTTTTTGTTCAAGATATAGGTCTTCAATTTATTCTTGAATAGCTACTGGTTGCAGTGCGCACTTCTACATCACGCTAACGTTGCCACGTTTGCCACTAAAAGCAGTTTTTCCATTTTCTAGTGAACTCCAGTTTTGCAGCAGATCATGCAGGACCTTGGCAGGCAGTACTTTTGATTCCTTTAGAGGCATTGTAATGAACTCGCTGTGACCTAATTTTCGTTATGGGTTCACGTAAATGTTGCCACCCTTATGAATAATGGACTGAAGGTTACTTCAGCCTTTTCCACATGGGGTGTCGACTGAGCTGAAACACGCAATCACGTGACCTTTTATTACTAAGTGTATTTTTTTTTTTTCTTCCTGCTGTATTGATAGTCCATGTCTTGCTATAATGTGACCTTCTCTTTTACTGGCAATAGAACCAGTACCTGTACTGGTAACTGTACCTCATCCTGTTTTGCAGAACAATGATGTTTTCGAGCACGCTGACAATCGGTCACCGTTAAAGTCCTAACTAATTGTGTTTGGCTAGCAGCAGCATACTTCCCTGTTGGTTTATTACCTAGCCTTATCAACGACAGAATTGCTTCCTGGCTGCAGATAGCAAGAGCTTTCTGGCAGGAAGAGGCAGCAGAGAGTGGTCTGTGAATTCAGTTCTTCCCTTTCTTCTCACCCATGTTAAAAATAATGTGCATTTTATTCATGTTGTAAATTAAAATTAATTTTTTTTTTTTTAGGATTGTTTCCTAACCTTTCGGTTTCTTCCCTGTTCTGAACAGATGAATACTTGAGGCCAGCAGTGATTGGACATGCTGGAAGTGTTGGATCGTACCCAGACAGTGCTGAAGCTATCAAAGGCATTCTCGTCTCTGTTTTAAACGCATCTGGTTTGAAGCCCTCGTTGGTGCTGGAGCAGACCGCAATGCAGGGAGCTGAGCATCTGGACAGTGACATGGAACGGTGGGAAGAAAGCAGCGACGGGGATAGCCATGACGACAGCGACAGCGATTCTGCACATCACAACGCTGCCTGTACACAGACAGACATTCGGTTTACAAGGCACCGGGCGTGTTGGGACAACACGCGCTGCGATTCCTCTAAACCTTCACTGGATACTTTCTTTTGTCCCCTAAGTTACTCTGACGGGGATCCCGCTGCTTCCTCCTTCGATGGCTTCACTCTTTCGGACGTGTCCCCTCTGAAGCGGGACTGCTTTACCCAGGTGACGTTAACAGGAGGCACTGTCACATCGGCTGTTGTGCGTTGTGGAAAAGAACGTTGTACTTCCCCTGAAGAAGACTTGACTTTCACAAGGTTTCTTCCCAATTCAACTGTTGGTAAGCCAGCAGATCTGTTGAAATACCCTGATGCTTTGGAGCCTGTGCCTGTCAGCAACAGTGACAGCAATTCTCCCAGTGGACTTTCCCAGTCAGAGCCAGTCAATCGAACAGGTAACCTTTACAGGTCCATTTTTGTTTTAAGATTTCTGTGCTAGGAAGGACAACTGTAATTGAAATGGCACTTGTTCATGGTGATTGTGAATTAGACTAATGCTGTCATTCAAAATAGGAGAGAGGGGAGAAAGGGAAAGCTTAGAAACGAAGGAGAGCCAGAGGGTTAGACTCGGTGAAACGGGACACAGTCGTGCTTGCAGTAGTTGTCCGTCTCATGACACAGAAATGCTTCTCTAATACGCAGCCTTTGGTATAATATAAAGATCTCTGAGCTGTGAGCAATGTAGAACATCCACTGGATGAAGCTTCCACCTTATTTGTTTTGTCTTCACTGTTACCCTTCTCCCAAAAGCAGATAGCATGGATCTGGGCGTTTGGTAGTGATTCATTGGTGTGTGCAGGCTCCTTAGGACATCTCCTTGTGTTTGACGTGAGCTGGAGGAGAGGGAGTCCTTCGGTTCTGGGATTTTGGAGGCAGGGCATTAACATCCATTCTTGTTATGACTAAATTGGCTTGTGCCAGAGCGGGACTATTTTTCCTCTTCCCCTTTCCCAGTGCGCCCGCTGTCTCAGAGACACACGGCCCCATCCGATGCAGATCACGGCCGTTTTACCCCTCACCAGTTTCTGACCATACGGATAATCCCGCATGTTGCCTGTGAAGAGACGCAGACTGAGGGCTGCTAGCAAAGGGTGCCTCTCCTGTCCCTGCAGCGGCAGGGGGCTCAGGGCAGCACAGGCCCGCAGGCGAGGACCTGTTCAGGTGGGGTGCTCGGTGCGGAGCCCCCAAGATGGCTGGCGGGGCGGCTGGCCTGACCTCGGGGCTGCATGTACCTCCATGAGGTGTGCCGGCCTTCCTGGGCTGCGGGGCCCCTGCCCTCAGCTGGGACACCAGAACAATCCCCTTGTCTTTAATACCTAACATTGATACGAACAGCCTTTGCTACAGCAAGATGAAGCATCTTTATTTTATTTATAAAGGGTGTTATCAGTATCTATGAGTGCCAGAAAGATGATGCGACTGAGGCCTGATTTTCACTGGAAAGAAGGCAAACGGCAGGGAGCACTCAGCCTGCCTTTGTATTATAAATAAAAATGGCAAAGGCTGTTTGTTTTTTGTGGTTGGTTTTTTTTTTTTTTTCCTTCTCCCTTTGGTCAATAGTAGTCCTAGTGGTGATGCTCTGTTGAGTTCCACTTCCAAGCTCTGGTCCTTTCTAGCTATTCACCCAAAGCTCCTCCAAGGCCTCAAGTCAGCAGAGAGGTCTCAAATAGGCACGTGCTGTTGCAGGACTGGGAGCTTTTAACAGTAATAACTCTGTCATCTGGGGTAGGATGTTGTCAAGAATTAGTATGGCAACGATTATGGTTGTTTCCTTCTGCTGGGTGTTTTGTTGGCCCTGTGCGTTCGAGAGGTGCCCGTCGGGGAGAAGGAAACCACACCCGGCGGTCGGAGCTGGCTGGGGCCAGTCGCGCAGGTTTGGGTAACCAGGTCTGGAAAACACAGCCCAGGTTCTCCGTGTCAGCAGGGACCGTGAGGCACGTGTGTAAGAACAATTAAATTGTGTGTGACTCGATCTTCTGGCGCAAGTAGGACCTGTGACAAGCTTGTGTTGGGTCAGTAGCGCTGCTGGCTCTCCAGAAAGCAAAGAGAGGAATACAGCAGCCAGGCGACTGAAGAAGTACCGTCCTTGATTTTACTAACAAATACTTTTTATGGGAGCTGGGATCCTGTTAGTGTGCAACGTGGCGGGCTCTGTCTGCATTAGACTTTGGTCTGCTCTGTACAAAGTGAAAATTTCTGCATTTCATCGTTCCTTATTGCTTCCAGCCATTTAACTTGCCGCTGGGTAGCCTGGGGTGGGGAGAGTGGGGTCTCGTTCTCCCCTGCATTGTGCAGGACTATGAGGATGGGAAAAACAAATGGCAAACTGAAAAGAAATAAAATGCCTAATGTGAAGGCAGGAATTGCACAAGAGCATCTCCTGACTTGCCATCCTTTCCATTGCTATCTCAGAGGTGGTGGTTTCTCTCAGAAGAATTGGTGAAGGATGCACAAGATGTAAGAAAATGACATAAGATGACTTAAATCAGAATAAATATTTTTGCTAGTCCTGTGAGATTCCTGTTAGGCCTTGTTAATACTTTTAAGGGCCATTTTCCAGTTGGCTCATGCAGCCTTCTGAAAAGGCTTCGTCATTGTTAATGAAGAGCCTGTGCCTGAATTTGATGTTTTCTGGGGGCTTTGTTGTGGCTGGTGTGTCACTGGCAGTGCACAGGGATCGTTCTTGCTTTTAACCTCTGTGTGCATCAAGGTCACTTCCTTCTGTGGCTCCTGAGGGCTCCTTCCCCAGCCCCAGCAGCCTCTGGGCAGCAGTGCTCAGGAGCAGAAGGGCAACCAGATCGCTTTTTGCATCAGACCCAGAGTTACGCCCCGTTGCTAGATGTGCTGGGCTCCTTCCCTGTGCTGCTTCCCACTTTACATTCTTTTCACTTAAAGATGCAAGTGGGATGCAAGAGGTAAGCAATAGAGAAAGCTCCCATTAGATTTCAAAATTATATTTAAGATGAATTGCATCTTATATTTTTAAAGAGAAAGGAATAATTTCCCCATTTCCTTCTTTCTGCTTATTTCTAGTTCAGAGAGTAATATTTGTTATCTTAACTGATGAGAATGTAGGCTTTTATCAAGCTGTAGAGCCTTTAGCACTTACTTGTACTCCCCTCACACTGCTTATCCACTGAGATGAATCATCAAATAGTGGATGAAAATAACCTGATTAGGTGATTAAATCTGTTTTGAAAAGTCAGATCATCAGCCTTTCCGTTTTTCCTCCATGGTGTAAACAATGGAGGTGGTAATAATTCTGTACAAAAACACTACGTCGCTATGCTCGAGCACAGTATTGACTTTCCAGCCTGATATCACCGATGCTCAGGGAAGCGTAGCATGGCTTCTATAAATAATTTCTTGTAGCAGTGGTTTTGTTTTGAAAACGAAACATGAGGTCTTGATCTCACACCTTCAGTTCTCTGGGGAAGGAGATTGTGACTGTATTTATATATAAAAAAGCAATCCGTGGTACATCTATGGAAAACCAGATGCGTGCTCTGCTCCATAGTGAAAAGTTCTTAACGGGAAAAAGAGATGAATTTTGTTTCACATGCTCATCATACTCAGCAGCGAATGGCAGGAAAACAAAACTGCTCTTCTGGGAGGCAGGGAGTAATGTGGCTACTGCGTCCCCCCCAGTTGTACATACTACCATGTAGTATGGGTTGGATTTGGAACCAGGAGGGAGATTTCCTCGAGGTATGGAAACATAATGGCAAAGTTTTTTCCAAACTTGCTGCAGTCACACAATACCAGCAGTGATTCAGGGAGTCTTTTAAGGCTGATGCATCTCTCTGCGTGCCCAGACCGCAGTGAGATTTCCTTTTCTTCCAGCTATTGTGAATGAGCAGAGGGCAGTGTTAGCTGGCTGTGTTGCAAACTGCAGAGCATGGCTGTAATCCCAGCCCGAGGTTCTGGCTGTGGCTGTCCCCAGCGGCTCAAGCCATAGCTGGGAGAGGGCTGGTCTTGGGAGTGCAGTGGTGCTGTCACCGCACGGCATTTAAATTGTGTTTTCCTGGTAGTTGATACTCATGCTTCAGGTTGCCAGCGTAGTTCACATGCCAACGTGTTCCTCGTATTTCTCTCTCCTTCTCCTTATCTTCCACCACAACCTCCAGCCCTAAAGGTGTTCAGTTTTGGGAAAGAAAGCTTGCTTTGCTTTCTGGAAGTCACCCTGCACACATCCTGGGAGCTGCAGAGAAAGAAATAACTAATAAAAGTTCTCGTTACACCCACAGGTTCTACTTCTCCTTTGAACATAAGTGCTATACCCTTGAATCGTTCGTTGCAGGACATCTGCATGCTTCCAGAAGATGTGGAGAAGGTGAGGACAGCAAAGACTATTGTCATAATGGTTTTTCCGTTTTATAGTGGCAAAACTGAATGACAGGAGGTGTTTCTCAATAACAGAACTTTCTGATAGATGGACTAATCTTTACAAATACTGTATTTTCCCTCTTCTTCCCCTCTCTGGGTGAACCGACAAACCGAAAAGCCTATTTCTTAATTTATTTTTACTCTTAATCCATTAATTAAATATTTAAATTATTTTAAAATACTGTACACTTTAAAACACCGTACATTTCTGCTTTTCATTCCATCATTTTCCCACACATTCCTTGAAACCAAACTTCAAGATTATTATAGTCAATTTAAAGTTACGTTAGAATATGTTTTGTAGAATTTGTTGCAGCTACATGCACGTGGATGGGATTTACCTCCTGCTTTTACTATCAGGAGACAGGGAGAGGTTGGGTTTTTTTTTTTTGTGTGCGTGCTTATGATGATCATGTGAGATTGCTGTAAAAGAATTACAATGTGAATAACAAGCACAGTAACTGTAACATCTGCAGTAATTCAAGCAGTATCTCATGGTTTTTAATTTGCATAAGGGACCCAAACGGTCTTAGGTGTGTTGCCAGATAGGCAGCCCATTTGAGCTTATAAACAGAGATAAAGATGAGAAGATAATGCTGTCACGCATAACTGTGCTAAGTGTTAATCTTTTCTAAAAATTGGAAAGGAGGGGTTAATGTTATAATTAGTCATTGCAATGAGTAAGATTTAATACAAAAGAGTTTTAAAAATGTGCCTAGAAAAGGAGATTTTTTGCTGGACTGTGGATGTGTGTGTGGTCCCATGTCCTGGGCCCAAGAGGTAATCATCTTTGTGCCCATCACTGGTTTTACTGGAGTGGCAAGTTCTGCATTTGATTTGAAGCTCTCAGCATCCCTAAGGTGCATTTGGAAAAAAAAACAAAAAACAACCAAAAAACCAAAACCCAAAACAACTAAAAAACACCCAATAAATCACACACCAAAACCCTATAAGGTTGTGAACTCGTTTTTCATGTTGCTTTTTGTGAGAGGTGTTTCAGGAGGGAGATGATGTTTCTCTGTTTGTAATATGGGAACCAAAACCAAAGTAATTTGTTTTCAGTCACAGGGAGACCAGTGAGTAGATATCAGAAACCACAGTCTGAGAACTATTGAGTGAGGCAGGATTGCATCAGCTACTTCTTTTGTGCAGATGATTGGGGGCTGATGTGATTACAGGTTAAAAGATATCAAGAGCTCAGTCCATTATGACTTTAAAAAAGTCCATTAAGCTCAGTCCATCAGGCCTTTAAAAAAAAACTAAACTAAACCCAAACCAAAACCCAAAACATTTTTACGTTGTGAAATAATCTCTTTGAAACTCAGGAAACTGAAAACTAAGGTACTTTGTGTCAGCAAGTCTTGAGAGTTGTAGTTGTGTGCCAGGAGGGAGATGGGCCAGCTGATCTAGAGGGACTTTCCACTGATGCGAGTGGGAGGGAAGAAAAGTGGGAAGGTTGGTGTGTCACTGCTGAGTTGGGACTGCGTCCTAGGGTGATGGACCTAGCGGGAGGCAGAGCTGAAAGCTGATAGAGACATGCTGAGTACAGGAGTGCCTGTATCCTGTTCCACCTTTTTGCAACTCTCAGATACGCTCATAATTGTTTCTGTCAGCAGGACATGCTGATGTGCTGTGCTCTGCTGCTAACTTGGGGTTAACCATTGCCACCCAGGCTTTTTGAATCTTCAAAGTAGGAGGTGTCCTCTTTATCTCCCAAAAGCAAAAAGGCTGTTTAATTCTTTCCTTTGCTAATGGTGTGTCCTGAAGTTCACTGAAAGTTGTCTCTGGAGAAACTGCACCAAGTGATGTTAATGAGTGTTAGGGAAAAGATGAAAGTCTGTTCAAACACCCACAGGGACTTGCAGGCTGTTTCTAACATTGAGGTTAATCTCTTTTAAATGTGTTTGGCTGTGGACAATAAGAAAGCAGTGATGTCTGTTGTACTCCTTAAGATTTAGCTGTTTCCAAATGCTGATGTCTTTCTTCATGCTTCCCGTACAGGTTGTAGGGGATGTCATGAATACTGATGTGGGCGGTAGAATTTTCTGAGCCTAAGCCACTTTTTAGAAAGCTTTAATTTTTCTGCACTCAGAATCTCTAGCCTTAGGTACTGCCATGGTAATTTAGACAGAGGTTTAGCCTTGCACAGTGCAAACGTGCAGTTGGGAGGAGAGGGGGAGAGTATCCTGGGCATCTCTGAGTGTCCTCCCGCACATCTGAGAGCACCTAACCCTTCACGATGCATCCAGTGTTGAGCTGAGCCTGGGCTAGGAGGCTGTGCCCACGCCAGCGGCAGTAGCGCAGGGGAGCTAGGGTTCCCATTTACCCTTATCACAGACTTTCGATGTAGCCTTGGGTTGACCATGTAAGTTATCACACTGCATATTCCCTGCTTCGCTACCTTAACTCTTAACACATGAAAGCGTTTTACTAGCTTCTGTACTACCCACCACCTGAAGATCCACAGTCCCTTCAAAACCAGCCTCTTCTGGTCCCATCCAAGTTAGCATGCATGCAAAACTGCTTGTGCACACTGACTTGAAATTAAATCCTATTAAATAGGTTACATGGATTCACACTTGCATATTAAATAATGCAGTGTAACTAGAGGACTATATCCCTAAAATGCATACATATTGATGAATTAGGCATGTAATCAAGTTTGGTTTTATCTAATAGATGGGTAAGATAAAAGTAAATTGTATGTTTTAATCAAGGGTGAGACAATTATCTGGGCAGTTGCCTTTTGCATGTTGTCTCTGAATTGCCCTTGGGGTGGTTTTTATTTTTTTTGATATTTAAATGAAAGGTGAGATAGCCTTACATTTTCATTTCTTGAGTTGAAAAAGTATGGGGAAAAATTATCTATTTCACTTCATCTTAAGTAAATATCAAATATGCTGTGTACTAATGAATGTTCCAATGTCGCGCCCAGGAAAACGCGCACTTTTTTGTTGCAGATATGATTATAGCATCACTAGAAAAAATGAAATGTAATATCCTAAGCCGACAAGCAGAGTCCTGGGGTGTGGAGGAAACAAGTGGATCAGATGGCAGCTATCACACTGATTTGGAGTTATCTTCTTACCCTGGAGTGAAGAAGTCTGATTCTTCTGTTGCCTCTTCAGACAGTGGTTATGAAGGCAAGTTGCTTAGTCTACAACGCAACCTTGTCTGACAGCCTTTGCCATTTATTTTTGTGCAAGAAAATACTAAATAATTTTGGGCATTGCTTGGAACCAAATTCTCTTTGAGTCTCTCAACAGAGCTGTATTCCTTGATGACCATTATGCCACAAGTGTTTTCCCTGTGGGTCAAATTCTTTCTTTTGAATGCTCACATCTGTGTTTTACTACAATTTTTTTCTCTTTTACATGAAAAACAAAATGTAAGGCATGCTAAGCACAACTCTTAATAGAGCGTGCCTGTAGTTGGCTGGTTTTCTCTTTGCTTTAAATCCTTTTTTGCAGGATTTGAAACCTGGCGCTTTCCTTCTGTGCTTCTGCAGTATGCAGATCAGGCCACGCAATTGATTTGAGTGGAACTGCCCGGAGTATTCATTCACATATAGTTTTGAGGCAAGATAATAAATCCTTCGGGCACTATAATGCTTGACTCAGCCCATGCATTTTTAAGTAGACTTTAGTCTCTGAGTAACATGGATCTTACAGATGGAACTGAAGTCTAAATAACATAACTTGTGGGGAAAAATGAATGGTGTGTTTGCACGCAAGAAGGGGAGAGACCATGGATAATATAAAACCTTTTGTTTTAGTCTCTAGAAGCTTCTTCCTAAGAAACTGAGGGACATGCTGTATAACAGACTCCCAAGAATTGGTGTATAAAAATAAATAAATAAAATTGCTCTGTAAATACAGGCTGTGTGCTAAAGTTTTGGTAACTGAAGAAAAATATAAATGCAATTGTGCTACTCTATAAATGCTGTAAAAGTTTAAGTGGTGTTGTCTTTGTTCCGGACAGGCTGTGCTCTGCTGCCTGTCAGCTCCCCAGTGCATCTACCATCACATCATGAGGTTACCAGATTTTGTTGCCACAGTGACTCAGAGGATGAGTATGTAATTATTGGTAAGACTTTAAAATTATAACTGCAGAAACACCTCTGTTGTTCAGCTGAATCTATTGCATTGTTTGGAAAATCTATTGGCTTAGTAGATGTTATCGCAGGAGATACGAGAAAATGGAAAGAGCGATGTATGCATGAATCTTTATTAGAACGCATGCAGAAATATCAGAGTGGTGCAGGATTTCCTTTCTACAAAATAACACATTTGCTGGTTTGAGGGACTGAAATTATGCCTAAGGATTAAACCCAGTGAATGTGGGTGAGCAAAGTGTGAAACTGGTACAGCCTCAGCCAACTATAGCAGCATTCTTTGAGAGAATTTAGCACATGATCATTTCCTAATTAAAGAGGTTGATTAGGTTTTAGGCAGCCCTCCGTCTGTTTCAGGACTAGAGTAGACTGTCCCCTTATAGTCACCAGTGCTCTGCTTCTCTTCAGGACATCCTGAGTTTCTTTGGTTACCTTCTGGTTTTTACATACACAGAAACAGAAACCCTTAAAAGTAGCCTGAGCAACGTTTAACTTCTATCTTATTTTTTTCCTGTTAACAAATGGGTTTTTTTGCTTCCTTCAGTTTTAGACATTTGCTTATTTTTTCACCTCCTCTTTC